ACCCCCCACTCCAGCAACTCTCAGTTTGTTTGCTGAGATTAAGAATTCCTCAAATCAGTGAGGTCATATGATACATGTCTGCAGAGCTTTATGTTCAGTGCTGTCTTAAGTCTTCTGATATGAGGATTGATGAAACTAGGATTGAGGTGTTGAGCAGAGACTGGTATCTGGTCAAGTAATAAGACCATCCTCTAGAGAGCCAGAAATATGGAGGAGGAGGAGCAGGGGTTGGAGATCTGTGGGCAGGATTTTGTAGGAGTTGAGAGCCTGAATTATGTAGTTATTAAGCCCTTGTTTGTACCCACAGGCTGTTAAGGCCCAGGGAAATTTGGGTTAGATTGTTCATTGGCCCAAAGGTGCAGAGTGGGCAAGAGAGGAAGATCATTTTTGCCATCTTTGGTCTTTGTGCCACACTAGTGGAGGCAATGGTGCTTTTACTCCGGAATAGTTTCACTACTCTTTTGGTTTTTACTTACAACTCTATGAGGCAAAACATGTATCTGGAAGTGGTGGGGTAGGTAGGAAGATACATCTGAGTGACACACACCATGTTGGATTCAGAAGAACTGGACTACTCTAGAACCTGGAGTGTGGGGAAATGGAAAGGAGAATCTATTTTACTTTGACCTTTTTCTGCTTAATGGGAAGAAGTTGACCTCACATTAGATCACTTCAATCAGATTGGGGGAATTAATAGGGGTGGCGGGACGTTTTTAACCTCTGGTGGTCACAGGCTCACATGACAACACTGAAGAGAGGAAAAGAGAAAAGCAGCTCACATTTGAGTGCTTACTATGTGATGCTAGGCACTCTATTAGGATTTATATTATTGTTTACTCCTCAGAAGAGCTCTCTGAAGTAGTGTACATTACTCTCATTTTATTATAGGTGAGGAAACAAAGATTAACTTGTCCAAAGTCAAAGTTCAAGAAAGTGATGGACCCTAGGATTTAGACTTCAGATTTTTCTGACTACACAAAGTCTGGGCTTTTTCTTTTTGATGGAGGATGTAGATTGTTGGGACTGGTGTGGCAGGTCCTATTGGCAAAGGGAAACAAGCCTTTAGAACAAACAAGGGAGAAAACTGAAGCAGTTTTAGAGAGTAAATAGGGCCTGTCACAGGGCACGGCCCTCAGGAAGGCAGAAAGCAGGTGGCGAAGGGACAGCAGAGATGGTTGGTCTTGAGTATAGCCTCGTTACCTCCTGACCACTGGGAAGTGGTAGTGAGGAGCAACAAGTTAGTAAGAGGAAATGGTCCAAGAGCCAAGCGTTCCAGGATTTTCTCCTACTTTCCTTTCTGTAGCCCACTCTGGGCAGAGGCTCATCAAATTCTGGGCATAAACAAGGGCTTGATTTAGGGAGGCAGGTTGGCCACTAGAGCAGCTCTGGCTCTTTCCCTTTGTGAAAAGGACATGTGGCTTGAGTGAATTAACACTCAACCAGGAGTGAGGAGACCTGAGTTTCCATGCAGCCTCTGACAAAGGGACCAGCAGTGATAGGTGGAGTGACACTCATTTATTCATGGAAGATAGGTATAGATTGTTTTCTCAGGGGAGCCTGAGAAGCAACCTCAGGGAGAGAGTGGGGACTTGGGCCGAAGAACTGACCTATTGGGAGGTTTTAGCAAGAATCTGGAGCTGCTTCCTGATCCTTGGCACCCAGGGCCCTGTGGCTGGTTCCTTGTGTTTCGGTTTAGAGAAACAGGGTGGGAAGGCAGAGGTGAGGTAGAAGGCAGAGCGTCTCTGGGCACTCAGCTTTTTCTGTTGGTCTGATGTGGCTCTGGACTTTGCAATAAACAAGGGGTTCAGCTGTGCAAGTTGAAAGTCTTGGATAGTTAACTCTTCTGGGTTCTCAGGCTCTTTCCGGAACCTTGTAGGCCCTTCCTCCTCATTAGTCTTAAGTGCCTCATATACAAAGAGAACCTTGTTCTTCAGCTTGTTTTGGATCCAGGGATCAGTTGAGGCCAAGAGAGTTAATGTTTCTTGTAGCTGCATTGAAACAAAGGTCCTATGGCTGGCTCACTTCAGGCTAAGGCTGGGAGCGGAGGGGGCGCCCCAGGGAGGGGGTGCTCTGGCCACAGGCCGCTATGGCCCCAAGAAATGAAGTCAAGGGATAATGTCCGAGGCTCATTCCCCTTTCCTCCCTCCTGACAAAGAGGAAGTGGTGAGGATGGGTGGGAGAGGCTTAGAGGAGGGGTAGGGAAGTGGAGGAGGTGGGCGGGAATGCCTTACGCTTTTCTTCACAGCCTGGCTCTTTTCTGTGTCTAGCATGTCCAGGAGCAAGTGGAACACTTGTGGGTTGCGGATCCCCAGGACGCCCTGGCAGAGGCAGAATGAGAGTGACTAAGTAGCCAGCCTAGGAAGATGCACATCTGTGCTCTTTTCCATTCTAGTCCCCCTCTGATAACCCTGTGGCCTGGAGAGAGGGGGCGTTAAAGCTCCCCAGTTGAGGTATCCCTTTCTTTCCCTTTTGGGACCACTGCATTGGGTTCCAGTGCATACTGTTCACCAGGAAGAGTCAAGACAATTCCTGCAAATTCTAAGCAACATCTCTTATACCCATCTCCTGTCCCTTATCCCACATACCTCCAATCCTGAGGAAGAGGTTACCCCTGAATTCCTGGTAGGGCCAGAATTCTAAAACAAGCCAGCACACCTCCCCAAACTTTATAGCCCTTTCTGCCGCTGAGTAATTGTGCTCAGTTGCCTACTCCCCTGGCCACCAACACATCTGGCCAGAGAAGCAGAGCTGGCCTTACCAAAGAGATGACTGCTTCCTGGCGTGCAGTGGCATTTGAGTTCATCAGTTGCCTATGTAGAAGGGAATGAGTGTGTTATCCAATTAGACGGTAGGGGAGAAAGGCTGGTTGTTTCTTCTTGCAGCCCAGAGTGAGTCAGGCTTAAGGTCAATGAGTGATGCTAATTTCATCAATTGCTCCCTCTTGTTACTTGGGTCAGGAAAGGGGCTAGGAAGGGAAAGGCAGGTACTGCAATTTGCCAGGAGGCACTGAATGACAATTAGGACTCACATCTGTCCAGAACTCTACCTTCTTTAGATGCCTTTCATGTCCTCATCTTAATTTGAGCTCTTATATTTTATAGCAACCCTGAGTGGTAGGTATTATCGGCCCCCTTTTACAGATAAAGAAAAATCCTAGGGGTCAAAAAGTGACTTGGCCAGGGGCATGGGCAAGTGAGAAGTAAGAACTGGGATCAGATTCTCAGCTCTTTCCGACCCTGTGCCCCTTTCCCACAGCCTGGGATTTGGCTCTGGCAGCTCCCAGCCGGAGCCACTCACGCCTCCACCAAGTTCATCATCGTAGGCTTCATCTTGAGCTCTTCCACAGTTTCAGCCACAGCCTGCCTCATAGCCTGAAGAAGAATTAAGGTGGGACAACCTTAATTGTTGTCCCACCTTAAGAGAAAAAGAATACAGGAGTGTACCTTGAAGTGCTCACAAACCTTTACCGAATGTTGACCTTGTGCTACATATGGTCCTTGTGTTGAGGAACTCATGGTCTGGTAGGGGAAGCAGACAAGTGAGTAGGCAGTCACACTACTGTTTTAAGTGTTACAACTGAACTAACTATAGGGTGAACATAGGAGGGTCTCCTCAGTCCGAGTATCAGCAAGATTTGCTGGAAGAAGTGATGCCTCAGCTGAAGCCTGAAGGGTGGATGGCAGTTAACCAGTAGAGGGCTGGGGGCGGGATGACGTTTTGGGCAGAGTGGAGGGCATGTACAAAAGCTTAGAGGCAGGAGAGAGCATACAGAGGTTGGGGAACAGAAAATATTTCAGTTTAGCTAGGTAACCACACTGAGACTCTTCAAAGTGGGGCACTCTGAGGAATTACACTGGGATAACAGGTATAAATGAGGACAAGGTCATTTTAAGCATAGCTGGTGTGTGGCCCTGAGCTGGAGTGGGGAGAGATGAAGCTAGAGAGGGAAGCAGGCCTTGGGTGGTGAAGGGCAATGTAAGCCTTCCTGAGGGCATTGGGGAGCTACTGAAAAGTTTTATACAGAGGTGAGACAAAATCTGATTTACATTTTAGAAAAATGTCTTTAGAAGTTCTGTGGCTGGTTCTGTAACAAGCTACAAAAAGATGAAAGCAAAGGGACACAGAGGAAAGCAGGATTCATTCTGTTGGAGGTGATTTGGGAAAGGTTCCCATAGAAGGTGTTTGGACTGGCCTTGCAGGAGCAGTCACTGTGACAGGCAGAAGGAGGGAGGAGTGAATAATAGCATCAGGCAAATTTTTCACCTTGCAGAGGGAGGGAGGGATGACTCGGCACTTTTCGCTGAGAGAACTGTCTGAGCAAAAGCAAGGTGGCTTGAAAACATGGGCCGTATTAGGGGAACAGGGAGTGCTTTAGTGCCTTAGAGTGAATATGATACTTTGTGGGGCAGTGTGGTGGGAGCCAAGCTGGGGGAGGTCTTCAGAGAAGAGAAAGGAGGCGGGTTTGGGCTGCCTGGGCTTGGGAGCTTTGGTCTCACTTACAAGGAAAGGTTCATTATACGTCTTCCTCCAGAGCAGGTCAAATGTGAATCCCTCCATCCCTTGTGCCTGGATCTTTTCCAGCCCAATGGTCTTGAGCATCTGGGTGGCTTCAAAGCGGTGCTGAGAGCAGAGGTGGGAAGGTATAAAGGATAGGCTCTCTTCCTTATCCCTCACCCCTGTGCTAGTGCTGGAGAAGGAATGGTCCTAGGCAGTCTGAGAGCTTACCTCCAGGACACTAGAATAGCACAGCTGGTCTAGGATGGCCCTGGTGACTGTGGCTGTGTGTACATGCATCATCTTGACCAGCATCCTGAGTGCCTGTGGGGGGGCAGGCAGGGTAGGGTGAGGTGTACAGGGCCAAGAGGCATCTGGACGGCCAGGTAGGCTTGAGGACTGAGCCTAAAACTCATGGGGAACAGATGGGGTCCATCTCCTGCCTCTTCGCCTTTTGAGTGAGAACCTAAGTTCATGTGTGCACATATGTGCACATTTATAAATGAACATTCATACAAATCAAATATATACAGAGACATGTACACTTACACATCTATGTGACCCCATACTCATGCATATACATATTCATAGACACACAGGGCCCCGCAGTGCTCCCTGCTGAAGCTTCTTTTCTCTGGTTGAGTATGACGGGGTCCAGGCTATATATACCAAAGTCAGCACTGGCCTCTGGTTCCCCAGTGCTCCCCAGGGAGCCCAGCCTCCTGCCCTTCACACCTTCATCTGCTGGGTTTTGGACCCTTGGCTCAGGCACTGCAACAAGAACTCTTGGGCTATGTTGCTGCAGGGCCTCAGGAAACCCAAGCACAGGGCTGCCTCCAGAGCTGCTTCATTCGATGACTTATTTATCAGCATCTGCAGCACAGGTACCAACTTCTCTTCATCCCCGACTTGAGTCCTCTGAGGGAGACAAGAAGTGAAATGGGCGGGGGGACTATGTCTTCAGCCAGGTTTTGTTAAGAGGGCAATTCACTGCTACTTCCAGAGCATTGTCCCTCCTCCCCAGAATGAATCTCATGTCCTCAGATTATTTTACCCACTTCCCCTTATTTTTGCTCTCCTCTACTTGCTCCTAGGTCTTATCTCATTTCTCTACGACTTTATCTTGTGGATGGATGACTGTCACTCTCGAACACTTCTGCTATCTTAATTCCTGACATTTTAAAAAATATACATGTCATTGATCCTACTCCTGTTCTCCAATAATCTTGTCCTTGTCCTCCATTCTATGTAAGCCATTAATTTTCACAGAGAGGTTTTTATCATTATCCATTACTGTGACTTCTCCATGATCTCCATTTCATGGATCCCACTCTCTGACCATCACCTCCTATCTTTCCAGCTCCTATCTTGCCAATAATTATTGGACTCCACAAGGATTAACAGTCCACTGAGCACCTTTTCACTGCTCCTCATTTTCTTCCCTCTCTACCCAGCTTAAACTCCATGGTCCTACTATAGTCACTTGCTTGCCTCACTCAACTCCTTTACCTCCTCTTGCTTCGTTGTAGTCAACTCTCGACTTACTCTGTGCCTGCGCTTCCTGGATAAAAGCACACAGTTATGGTGACTGATCTTGCTTTGAATGTGTGAACACAAACCTCGTGTAGACCCTTAGTGCTACCTAGTAACCATACTGTTTTTCCATGGGCAATTCTTTTTCCCACCCTCCTGATTCACACCCTGTCCTCTGGAACTTCCAACACTTCTTCCTCCATTCTTAACTCTCAGCTGATGACCTTGCTTCCTACTTCACTGAGCAAATACAAGCAACTGGAAAAGAAGTTCCAGAGGCACCTACCACTATTTCTTTCCAATACCTGCACCCATATATTCTTCCCTGCTCTTATTAGTATAGACTCTGGCCATCTGTCTAAAGTTAGTCTTTCCACTTGTGTGTTAGACCTCATCTCTTCTCACATAATCACAACTCTTTATTCTCTCTTCAAAGTTATCATTTTTCTAACTACTGGACCATAGAAACATGCTATTATTTTTCTTTTTTCTAAAATCCACCCCTGGTGCCAGCTACAGCCCTTGCCAGCAAAACTTGGAAAGTTGTCCATTCTTGCCATCTCTAATTTCTTTCCTCCTGTTCACTCTTAAACTCCTTCTGTCAGACCTACACCGCCATGACCCCACCAAAATTGTTCTTGTTAAGATAATCAAGGATTCCTACATTGTTAATCTGTGTATCAGTTCTCAGTCCTTATATTATTTGATGTGGTTGATTTGTTTCCTTTCCTTGATATATGTTCTTCACTTGATTTTCAGAATACCACACTCTTGGGTTGTCTTCCTACCTAATGGCCAGCTGTCATTATTTACTGGTTCTTCCTCTTCTCCCTGAGCTCTTAATATTGGGATGCCCTAAGATTTCCTACTTGGTCCTTAGTGATCTCATCTAATTGAATGACATTAAAGGCTGTCTATATGCCAACAACTCATAAATTCCTTTCTCTGATTCAGACTTTTAAACTCAAAATTGTACATACAACTCTACCTGCTGTCTCCCTTGGAGGTCCAGTAACATCTCGAACATAACTTGTCCAAAACTGGACTTCTGATATTACCTCCAAACCTGTTCCACTTGCAACTTTCTCCATCTTAGTTAATAACTCCATCCTTTCAGCCACTAGGCCAAAAACCTTGGCTTCATCCTTGTTTCCTCACTGGCTTTTGTAGCTCACATTCTACCTGTCAAGAGTTTTACTAATCCCACTACGACCACCGTGATCCATGCCACCATTATATCTCACCAGGATTGCTCCAGTAGCCCCTAATTGGTCCACCTGCTTCCACCTGATACCCCACCCCCACCTCCCATCTCTTCTCAGCACAGCAGAGTGAACCTTTTGAAATGTAAGTTAGATTATGTCACTGCTTTGTTCCTTACTTCAGGCAAAGTAAAAGTCCAAGTACTTGAAGTCGTCCAGAAAGCAATGATTTAGTATGATTTAGTCGATCTAGATCTAGTATAATTGAGTCTCCTGTTAACTACTTTGACCTACCTTCATTTTTACTACTTTCTCTATTTCCACTCCTCTGCAGCCACACTGGCCTCCTTGCTGTCCCTGGACCATGCCAAGCACCCTCCTGCCTTAGAGCCTTTGTACTGATTGGCCCTTCCCCCGGGAATGCCTTCTCTTAGATATCTGCAAGGCTAACACCTTCACCTTCTTCGTGTCTTTGCTCAAATGACGCCTTCTAAATGAAGCCTTCCCTCCCTTCTGTGTTTAAAACTGCAGCTTAGTCCCATCCCCACTTGGCATTCCTGATCATCCTCACCCTGCTACCTAATTTTTCCACTGCACTTGTCACCTCTAACATACTATATAATTAAGTTTACTGGTTATTATATGTCTCCCCAACTAGAAGGTAAGCTCCACAAGAGCAGGGGATCTTTGTCTGTTTGGTTCACTGATGTATCTTAAGGGCCTGGGACAGTGCCTGGCATGTGATAGCTGATTTAAAATATATATATTTGTTGAGTAAATGGATGAATGATGACTTCTATTTCACACGGAACAGTGATGGGCTCAAAGTAAGAGGACTCTAAAAGGAAAAAATTTGAGTAGTGTTGCGACTCTCTTGATCCCTTTCCCCTCTTGAGAGAGGTTTTTTCTTTAGTAGGTTATTTTAAGGTTGATAATGGTTACCATTTAAAAAGCGCAGGCATTGAACGAGGTGCTTTACATACATTATCTCATTTAATCTTCTCAACAATGCTATAATTACTATCCATTTTGTTTAATCTGTTGATGAATTTTTATTGAAAAATAGCATACAGTGTTGTATTAGTATAGTTAACGTACAGTGTTCTATTAGTTTTAATTTAGTGATTTAGCAGTTCTGTACATTACTCAGTGCTCATCCTGATGAGTGTGACTCTCCCCCATTTTGGAAATGAACAGACCATGGCTCTGAAAGCCAGCTTGTCAGGGGTTGTGTGACTCCTACGTGGCCCTGCCAGCGGTTCTATTCAGGGAAGCTGTTCCACAGGGAACTCCACGAGGACAGTGTCTTCTCCCATCAAGGCTAGGCGCTAGGGGTTACCGTCTCCCTGACCTAACCCCAGCCAGCACCATCAATTACCTTGTCCTACCTGCCCCAGTTACTGACTCTTCTCCCAATCACCTTGTCTTTGGGGACAGCAGCCCAGGAGTTCAGAGCCGCTCGTAGCCCTGTCAGAGAATCCATCCTTTGCCCCTCATTTTGCCCCTTCGGCTGTGTGATGAGAACCTGGATCACGTGCTTACTCAGGCAGCCTGGACAAGGGAGGTCCTCGGGTCAGGGCAGAGCCTCAGGGACTGTTCCTCTCTGCCAGGACCCATTTGACTCCACTGTGCCCTCAAGACAGAAGTTCTAAGTACTGGATCCCCAGGTGTTGCCCGTCCTCCGAGGACACTGGTGCAGCTGGCTGAGCATGGCTGGAGTTCCAGGGACCCGCCCACTCCCTCCCAATCTCTTCTCCTTTTCACTCCACTTTCCTCTCTCTGCCCACAGTACTAGGTTAGCTCCCAGATCCTGCCAAATGCTAGGTAGAAGTGGGTGTCCTTACCCAAAGGGGAAAGGGGCTGCACTGCTTCCTTTCTCACTTTCTCCCACTCGCCCCTCAGGGAGGGGACATACTCACCCAGCATGGCCAGGCTTCGACAGGCCTCATACTTCACTTTCTCTGGACCAGTTTGGGCCTGATTTAAGAGGCAGGTGGTGGAGATATGCCGTAAGGTGATGGAATGTCAGAGCGTTAGGAATCATTTCAGCTTAACTTTTCATTTACAAGTGAGGAAACCGAGGCCTAGAGAGTGACCTTCTATGCTCAAACACAGAGTACAACAGGCAGGATGGTGCAATGGAAGGAACACAACTCGGGAGTAAGACTTTTGTTCCGATCCCTATCTGGTATCTAGTAGCCATGGGACCTTGGGCAAGTCACTTGGCTCACTCTCAGAGCTTCCATTTTATCATTAGAAAAATACAGATACTACTGTCTATTCCCAGTTTGTAAGATTTAAATGCGAATATGGATAAGAACGCATGTTCCCCATTATAAATTGGCCTATAAGCACGGGGCATTGATTCAGTTAAGGTAGAGAACGAACTCAGTCCCAGTTCATTTCTGCTTTTCAGTCGAGGGTCTTTTCTGTTCGACAGAGGGGAACTTCAGATTCCCCCAGCCCCACCAAGCTGCCCTTCAAGAAAGCCAAGGGCATGAGATGGGGCATGCTGCACACTGGCAGCTCTCTCCTCACCGCATCTGACCCAGCATCCTTGCACCTTGGCGAGCCTTGTCTGTGCCCCTGTGCCCATGCTCCACATACCTCACACCCTGTTTCCTCCTCTCATGAGCTCATTGCAGCCCTAGACTCACCACCTGCTGCAGGGCCTCTATGACAAACTTGTCACTGACGCCCAGGCATCCCAGAGCCTGCAAGAACAGGGGTGGAAGAAAGGGAAGAGAGCTCAGATACCACCCCCATGAGTTACAGCCTCTGGACACAGCTGGAGTTTTGTCTTGGAACACTGCCCCCCATCCCCACCCCAAGCATCTTTCTACTCCCCAGCTCAGCCAACTCCTACCTGTGGCCATGCTCCACGACCCTTGCCACCTCTCACCTGTGCTGCATAGAACTGCTCATGCTCTCTGGGAGATTCCAGGCTTTTGGTGAGTTCCTGCCCATCCAAGGGAGCCAGCGGAGAGGAAGAAAGGGATAAATACAGTTGTAGAACTTCAAACAGAGAGGAGCTCATCAAATCCCTTTTCCTTTCCTCCCTCTGTTTTGTAGGCAGGGACTGAGGGCTGAAGGATCATGTGAGCCCAAGGTAAGGGCACCCACAGAAAGGGAGTCTCCCCATTCTCCCTCCCACTGTGGTCCCTGACCTTTAATCTTTGCCGCTTCAGGGGGTTCCCAGTAGAGTCTGAGGGCTTGGATACTGTCCGAGATTTTATAGTCAACTTGCTCATAGGGAGATGGAATTTTTGGATGGGCATGCCCTCTTTGAGCTGCCTGTGTGAGAAATTGCATAGGCAGCCTTGGTCCCCTTGTTCCCTCCCTCGTACCTCACAAACTTTCCTCTGCCCTTGGTCCTCAGCCCAGCTCAGAGATGGGACCAGAGGAAGACAGATGCACCTCCTCCTACCCCAGGCTTCTCTCTGGGATCTGTAAGCTGGATTTGCCCCACCCCCTACCCCACTCCTTCCTTCTCCTTCCTCTCTTTCCTAGAAGGTATGAAGGGTATGGAGAATAGGGAGGGGCAAAGCACACCTAGGGTGATCTCTCATTTTCTGCAGCATTTTCTGGGCATCCCGTTCTTGTCGCTGATCATACAGAGTGTGCCAGTGGGTGTAGATCTCAGGCTTCTTGAAGTAGCAGTAAGACACTGAATGTGGCTTGCTCGGGTGCTGCCTCCAGCACTCTGGGCTTGGGGGAAACTCTTCCTTTGGCATCTGGGGGGTGTGAATGGCACAGCAGTGGGAGGGGATATTCCTCAGCCAGGAAAAAGACCAGGATAAGAAGGGACTAGGTGAGAGGGACGCCCTTTAGTCTCTCATCTCAGCTAGAGTCAGAGACCCATTGTGTGACTTGGCAAGTGACTTCACCCACCAAGATCTCAGTCGTCTTCTCATCTGCAGAATGGAGCTAATAATCCTTTTTTCTGTAGCCCTTGTTGCAAGAACAAATGAGATCAAGATTGTGAAGCCCTTGTTGATCTGTAAGCCAATCCGAGTACACCGTTTGGTTATTTGAGGATTTCAAAGCACTTTGAAAAGGCCATCTGGGCAAGGAGATGAAAAGGCAAGGGGTGGGACGCAGGCGTCTGCCTTCCACTCAGGCCATGATCCCAGGGTCCTGGGATCGAGTCCCGCATCGGGCTCCTTGCTAGGCAAAGGAGCCTGCTTCTCCCTCTGCCTACTTCTCCCTCTGTCTGCCACTCCCCCTGCTTGTGCTCTTTCACTCTCTCTCTGACAAATAAATAAATAAACCTTAAAAAAAAAAAAAGGCAAGGGGTGAGGGAGATGTGGAGTGAAAAAGGGAAAGACAGGCTATTGCCCCTTCAGGCATGCAGCAGATACTCACCGAGCACCTGCTAAGTGCCAAGCACTGTGCTAGGTGCTGGGGAGGCAGTTATCATCCCTGCCCCTCGTGGAACTTCACAGTTCAGTTGGAAAAGCAGAATTTCCTTAAACGGTCGTGAAACTGCAGCTGTGATTGTAGTGGAGGGTGGTGGGTGGGTCAGGGGACTTTCTCCGCAGATTTGGCTAGAATTCACTCCTATCTCTGCCCCAGCCTTTGTCAGAGTCGGTTCTCTGAGCAACAAGAGGGCCTCCAGCCAGTGGTTTTCAGTGTGGTGATGGAGAAGATCATAGTAAAGGTTGTCAGGTGACTGCCATGATTTCAGAAAGTGGAGCATTGACTCGTAATGAGTAGGGTTGTCAGATTTAGTGAAAACCAAGCAAATAAAAAAGACCAGGACGCCCAGGTAAATTTAGATTTTAGGTATTGGATACCATATTTGGGACATATTTATACAAAAAGTTACTTATCTGAAATTCAAATTTAATTGGGCATCCAGTATTCTATCCAGCAACTCTAACTATGAGGATCCCCGCATTAATGAATAAAAATGACTCCTTATTAAGCACTGCCGGCATTAAGCCTGGGCCTTACAGATAGTAGCTCATAGCAACTCCCCAAATGGAGTGGGACAGGGGTTGGCTTGTGACCGAGGAAGCGCCTGAGGCCCCGGGGGCGGGGGGCAAGTGACTTGTCCACGGTCACACAGAATTAGCGGCAGCCCCAAGGATGAGTGTAAGGGTTCTGTGACCTGGCCTTAAAGGAAAGGGGCAGTCGGCTGCCCCTGGCATTTTAACAAAGCTTCCAGGGGCGGGGGCAAAAGTTAGGGGTCTTACCTGGTAGCAGGACAAGGGCAGGTGAACAGGAGCCGTGACTTTTCTGAGTTCTGTGGTACAAATGGTGGGCTAAGAATCATCCAGTCAGGTATTCATTTATTCAGCATTTAGTGAACGCTGCATGTTAGAATTATTTGGGGGAATTTTTAACCTGCCTTGGCCCTACATCAGACTAATTGAATCTGATGCTCTGGGGATAGGGCCTAGGCCTTTCAGAAAGCTCCCCAGAGGATTCTAATGTGCAGCTGATGGTGAAAACCAGTGGTCTCATTCAGTGGGTCTCAGACTTGAGTGTGTTGTAGGATCACCTGGAGAGCTTCTTTTTTTTTAAATTTTTTATTGTTATGTTAATCACCACACATTCATCTGGAGAGCTTCTTAAAACCAATTTCTGGCACTCATCCTGAGTATAGATTCAGCAGATTTGCCTTTCTAACAAGATACCGATGCTGTTTGTCTTGGGACCACACTCTGAGAACCACGGATCTAGCTGGTGAGACAGAATTGTTTACTAGTGATTAACAAAGGGAGACAAATGGGAAGATACAGGCACAGGTGATACAAATGAGGCCCCTAACCTGGCTGGGAGGATCAGGGAAGGTTTCCCAGAGGCTCAGTCTTTAATCCACGTCGGGGTTAGCCCAATAGATAAGGGGGAAGAGCGCTAGACACGGGGAATGACTTCTTTCAAAGACCAGGAGGTGGGGAGTCGGGTAGAGAGCAGGGTGCAGATGTGGGAGCGGAAGCTAGGGAGACAGATGTCCCATCTTTGCGGGTCGTGGAGACTTACCTTGAAGGCCGTGGGGAGCCACCAAGTGTCCGGTGGCCTGCCCTGACCCTTCCTGTGGATTTGCTGAACTCACCAGACCCCCGTCTTGGGAGAGGGAGCCAGGGAGCTTTTCTTTCCAGGCCCCACCCTTGACTTTGTTCCTGTCTATTCCAGCCTCACCTTTGGTCCTTTCTGGGTATTCTAGCCATGGGTACTTGAACATGGACCTGGAGATGTCAAAGAGATCAGCTGATTTTTCGTAGGCCATCCTCCTCTTCTCCTGGTGGGGCCAGAGGGAACCCAGGTGGGGCAATACAGGGCTGTTGGGAGCGTGGGGACACAGCTGGGGAGACCTGTCCTCTGTGGCACAAGAGGGACAGGTGAGGGGCTGGGGCTTCTGCGGGTAGAATCTTCCGAGTGTTGAGCAACCAGATCTCCTAGGTAAATGGAAGACTCCAGTTCCATTCTTGAGCCCCGCCCCCCCAGCCCCCACCCCTGGGGTCCCCTGGCCTGTGGCCTTGAGCTAGTCACTTGACCTCTGGGAGCTTCCGTTTCCTCATCTGAAAAGTGGGAAAGTCATGCCTGTCTGGGAGCCGGAGGGGCTGTGGTGAGGCATGCACGGGAAAGAAAGTCAAAGCATTTGGTGAACTGTCAAGCGCACATCAGCCCATGGGAGGGGCAGGGATGGTTCTTAGGATTAGTCATCAGGAAAATGGCAGGAGGGGGAAAGCCCCGTTTGTACACACACCTCCCTCCTTGGCTGCAAGAGACTGAACTCTTCCCTGTGTGGTAAGGAGCTGCCTCCCGTACCTCCTACTTTTACATATGCTGTTCCCTCTACCTGTCAGGCCTTTCCTACCTGCTAAACTGGCTCTCCAATCTTCCAAACTTCATTTAAACACTGTCTCATCTCTGACATCTCTTTTCTCCCCCAGGCACCCTGCCTCACCTCCTTCAGTGGTGTCATCCCCCCGCCACTCCCACTCCCAGTGTGACCACAGCTTTTTGAACAGTTGCTTCCCTTTAGGTGTTTATCATATGTTTAATCTGCCTAAAAGTTAAAGATTGTGGCTTGTGGCTCATTCATCTCTCTCCCCGCCAACCTCCCATGCCTGGCATAGTGCCTGGCACACATCAGCGAGCTTGCTGTGGCAAGAAAATCTGGACCGTCAGGCCATCAGACTCAACATCACCAGTAAACCAACATGTACCCTGATGTGCTGCACTGAGAAACCCAGTGTCACCCATGTGGTGTCCCTGCCAGAAATGTTTAACCTGAATCGAATTATGAGGAAACACCCAGGCAAATCCAAACTTAGGGAACATTCTACAAAGATATGATATGAACTCCTAATAAAATACTTGGAGTCGCACACAGAAAGTCTGCGAAAGAACTCTAAAAAGACAGGACAGTTAAATTCAATATGTAGCTAATTGCTCAATGCTCACGAGGAAGGAGGGTTCTCTAGGAGGCAGTCAAACCAGGAGCCAGCTTGGTAACTGCATGGAGAGTTTTAATGGGAAGCTGATTTCTTTTTTTTTTTTTTTAAAGATTTTATTTATTTATTTGAGACAGAGAGAATGAGAGACAGAGAGCATGAGAGGGAGGAGGGTCAGAGG